CATGACCAGAAGGCACATACATGTAAAGATACTTGTGGGACTACACCTATGAAATGTATGCATGATCTTTGGTTGTTTAAGTGTACAAGTGTTCAATACCTTACACAGTCAGCATATCAATATCCCTCTGGGTGCAAATCAATGATATGTGTATTCATTGTGCAATTACTGAATAAATTGTTCAGTTGATACAGTGCACAGGAGGGAGGGTTGTGTATTAGTATTCAAAGGCTTCTCAAGTGAGGTACGAGAAAGCACTTACGGTAAATCTTTCAATATATTCACATGCCCAGTTACATATTTCATCAGTCTCATAGCACTTTCCATCTACAGGTAATAGTATCAACTCAGAATGGTGATCTAACAAAATTCCAAGATTTAAGTGGGACTGCACTACTTATACTGTACATGTAGCTACTTGCGCTCTCTATATATGTAGCAAACAATGCCAAAGCGGTACCTGTTAGTCTCCCATGGTCCCCTTTTTCTTATGTTAATTGAGAGCTGATTTGATGAGATAACCACCTGTCAGTGACCAAGCAGGGAGGTCTAATCCCTCCTGGTCAAACTAGAGCAGACAGTTATCAAAAGAAACAGTTATTATTATTATTATTTCCCTCAACCTCATCCTCTCCCCATCCACCCCTCCCTCCCACACAACCTGTTTGAGCCCATTCTCCCCGAGCCTCGCTTACAAATTAGCATCCACTACTAATTACAAGCAAAGTATCCCCTCTGTTTCAGCCCAGCAGTGACTATCCATGCACATCTATTTGTCGTTTAATCATTCTTCTTCCCCAGGGTTAATAAAGCCTCGACTCCGACATCACGTACGGACAAACAATACGACGACCCACCGACGGGTCAGACGATTCATGATTTCATATATTCCGCGGAGGAAAGCAACATATGGACCTTGGCAGGGAGGAAAAGAGCATGAAACTAATTAAGACTGAAAGTAGCGGCTCGGTTATTTGTCCGGTGATAGCATTTTCCTCTTTCCGGAGATTTTATCTCATTTCTTTCTTGCATCATTGCTGTCCACGATATGCTTCATGACAGCAGATTATATCAGTATAATGATGATCAGCAGAAGAGATACTAGTGAACTAAAATTTGCTCTGTGTTAAATAAAAACTTTCAAGAATTTTATTGGATAGAACAAAACAATGTTGTATTACTGTGACAAAGAGGAATTTTTAAATGAATATATTCTGAAGGTTCTCATAAGCTAAAATGGACTTGAATATTTAGTCCAATGATTTTAATGCAGTGAAAAGCATTGATGAGAATTCTCTTTTAGGGACTCTCTTTAATCATGGTGGCTTTTTAGACTTTGAGAGAACATTACTATCAGCACATTTTTATTTTTAATTATTTAAGAGAAATTATACAAACTAAGCAAGAGTAGCTTAATTACTGTTAACTAATAATGCCACAAAAATGATTACATCAAACACCAAACAGGGCTGGACATGAACAGCTGTCAGATACACTCTTTGACTAACAAATTCACTTTGGGCACTTCAAATGTCCCCCTCCCCCCCCCCCCCCACCCCTCTTCATTTTGATTTGAAGCCCTCGGAATAAAGCCTTGTATCTCTGCATAGAATTGTATTATGTGTAGCTATAGTAAAAACTTGCCTCTGACACCACCTGTCTATTAAGAGTACCAAAGACCTTTCTTTTAAAATTTCCCTTGAATAATATGTTACACTGGTAAAGAAGGGCAACCTGCCTATGAAGAAATCTTTTTCCTTGGGCAGTCTTTACAGACAGGTTAGCTGGTTGTTTAGGTTAAGGTGTTCAGAGTAGTAACAAATCATTTGCAAAGCTAGATATGATATCCTTCGACTCAAAGCAACTGCCTTTCTGTTAATGGATTGATCACATTCCAGGTCCCTATGAGATTTGTTGAGCCCCGGGAGGAATAGCAAGTGCATTAAATCCCACTCCCGCTTGACATGCCCCGCCATTGTTTTATCAAAATATTTACGGGATGCCGAAACAAACTATCATTCTGAGAAGCATCCGAAATACACATGCCCTATCATCAGCACCTGATGTGGAAGTAGCTGGTCGTAAGCCAGCACTAGGCCGCGGGAGGGGTTGTGTGGGGAGACTGGGTAGGGATGTGTGTGGGCGATTCCTCTTTAGGGCAGGTAGGGGTTTCAGGCAGACTCTCTTTCTCTCTCTCTCTAGCTCTCTCTAGCTCTCTCAGACGAACACTTTGAACCAACGCATGGCAATAATCATAACAGTATTGGGAACTATGATTGAAAAGTGATGACGTGCATGTGGCCAGGAAATGGCAGCCTCTCACAGCACTTATGTCACATACTCATCAAAAACTAACAACGTTGGAAGTGCCTGCTGAAATCACCCTTAAATTACTAAACAAGGAAAAAAAGGGCCAGGTATTCAATTCCAGTGGAGAAAATGAGTTTTTTAAGAACACATTTCTATTTGTTCGGAAAGAGGAATGGATCTTACAGCCTGGAATACTCAGAATCTTGCAAACCAATACAAACTTGAATGGACTTAATTGAATCCTCGCTTTACACACCCGCAACAGATCGATGGTAGTCGAACCAGTGAATGACACAGATCGTACATGAAGAATACTGCTTAGCACGTGAGGTGCATAATTAAAGTGCCTCCAACACTATCACTGCCAGGCTCCAGCAAGAAATAAATGGCTACTGTGGAGACGCAGATGCAAAGCTATTCAACGCCAGAAAGGCGTCATCCTATCAAACAGTTCCTACATTGTCCGCAGTTGCGTTTGCCCGTGATACGTGTTCCATCTTCATGGTTAAGTTGCGCACTGGCCAGGTGTTTTGGCTTTAATACCTCTTTACTATTTTGATTTATTCAGAGAGACTTTAATAGCCTTTCATTGCCAGATGAACACATTCTTTTTAGTGAAGGTATTACATGAGGGTGTCAGCTGTTTCATTGTGAACCATCACTTCATCGTCAATATTTCATCACCAAACACTGACCACTTCAAGCCTAATGCCAGGTGGAAATACATCCAAGTAAACAAATAACAAGTCAGCCTCAAAACTTTGATATAAAATAGTAAGCTGTTAGTCCCAATTACTCTTCAAATCAAGGCATCTCTTTCCATGCTTCATTTGTGGTTTTACGTCTTAGCAAAACACATGACTGCACATGCCTATACATGCCGATTTAAAATTAATTTAACCGATTGACAGACTTCAAAATCAGGTCTCGCTTTTAATGGCATTCAAACTTCTTTCAATCGAATTTGGAGCAGTAGCTCATTCCATTCTTTCCCCTAGAATACAATAAAAGACCATTGATAGCATCACGTACAAATATCATCTTCAAGACTACGGGAAAGGAAGGGGAAGGGAGTTGCAATCATGCTTTCTTCATCACATTAAGGATCGTCTCGGCTGGCATCGTGCACTGTGGAAAGCAAGTCAACCAATCGCTGCTGCGCAGTCAAGCGCGAGTCGTTATGCGGCGTCAATCTAAATCACATTACTTCCCGATCACACTAAATGCTTATGAAATATATAATCCGGTGCTATGAAAATTGGATTGCTCACGATTCTACCTTAAATAATTCTGGGGCCTCATTGCAACCCCCCCCCCCCCTTTCCCAAATCTAATTTCTAATGATTATGTTGCAGTGATTCTCATTTTCGGGAAGAGGGGGGATGAGGATTTCTTTCTCCATGAGCTTGCTAATCTGTGGTGGAATTTCTGGCTCATACAATTGGCAAATTGGCAACATCACTCCTCGAAAGGGAGGCGACACAGTATTAATGGAGCACAGGCTAATTCTGTTATTGATCAGAAGAGTAGCTGGAAAATGGTCATGCAACCTTTTGCAAGATGCAAATGCAATCACATCGTCCAGAGTATTAAAAGCATTGCCATACTTTCTCATTGCCATATTGAACTCCATGTAACTTTAGTTGGAAAAAATGAACAAATATAATAGATGGCTTTGGAAACATAAATACTTTAAACAAAATATGTTGAATTTGACATTAAAAAACAATAATAAACACAGAACATTAAAAGATTGTTTTGAATATTAGGGTGATGAATATCATCAAAGGGTACATTATAATTTCCATTATCTACATATAATGACTTATTTGTCTACTTCATTATTCTAGATTTTGATGAAATAAAGCAGCATTGTTAATGTTACCTAAATTTATCTCTACCTAGGTCTCTACCAACTGTACATGTACATATAGATTGCATTTATATACATGGGCAATTCCACGGTAACGGAAGGACACTCAGACAAGATTTTTGAACTTCAGGTTCATACTAAAAGAAATGTTTTATTAGTATGTATTAAACTATGGGGAACAAAATGTGTTTCAGTCAAGTGGGAAGCTTCATCAACTTCACAAAGTTTGGATAAACACTAATTAACTGGAAAAACCATGTCCATTTTTATGTCCTTCCGTTACCGAGATAATTAATATGCACATTCTTAAACTACTTAACTATAATGACAATTTTTTGTGTGAAAATTAAAGGCACTTATATAGGTATTATATCTATACTGTTTCACATCTTATACTAATAAAACAGTTCTTTTAGTATGAACCTGAAGTTCAAAAATCTTGTCTGAGTGTCCTTCCGTTACCGTGGAATTGCCCACATGCCAACATTTGAAAATCAGAAATCTGTACAAATTATGCTATTTTCAAAAAAAGAGGAACAATCCTAACTCTCCTATTCAATACTACAGACAAATTTGTACAGGAAGAGGAACACCTGCATTAAAATTATAATTATCTTCTCCCAAAAGAGGAATGTTCCTCTTTAATCTGAACAGTTGGCATGTATGCATAAGTATTGATTCCTCTGTCCATCTCTCTCTCTCTCTCTCTCTCTCTCTCTCTCTCTCTCTATCTCTCCAAATGTATGTCTCCTTCTTTTGCTCATTCTTATCTACAAAATCTCTCGCACGTATTCCTTTCTGTTCCAATTTTTTTTACAGGTGACTGTAGCGTCACATTCATGCTATGAAGGAGATTACATAGTGCCCCTTATAATCCCCTTGAGATAATCTCCTTTAATCTCATTTCAAGGCAAATTTTGAAGTATTTAAAAAAAAATCAAAAAAGAAGACCTCCACAGTCCGTGTGAAATCACACTGATCAACCCTTACATTTATTTTAAAAAGACAATAATTTCTGTTTCCAGGAAATGTACAAGTATACCGGTACCTATCTTATACTGCCATTTATCAGCTAAAATCAAATCAAATCAAATCAAATCTGAAATACATTCTGGTAGGTCTAAGAATACTCTAAAAAAGCATTACCCAACATGCAATTTATAGCTGGAGGGGGGGGGGGCCTTGGAAACACTTAAATAATCCTTGGGATTATGTGCATTGTATGTAGTAGAAAACTCACTTACATAACTGAAATCCTCTTCTTCAGATTTATGTTTGGACTTCTGCTTAAAATCTTAACAGGGGGATTTTGAGATGTCACTTTTTTTGCTTCATAATATGCTTTCCATCATGCTCAACAGATCGATTCAAATAGAATTGTTTTGGCATCAAATCATTGGGTTGACAACTTGGACAACTGTGTGCAAGCAAACGCCACTCAGGCTTTCATTCTTCTGATAGCGCCATCATCGCAAAAGAAGTTTTGTCAACATCTCTGTGTTCATGGTCTCCATGACGATGATGGCTAGCATCATCCCTACTGTTCTATTATTGATAGCGTTCTCCATCAACGGCGGATGTCATGAAGAGTAATTTTGCCCATTATTCTCTTTTTATTGCTGCTTCAAACACGCAAAATATCAATAACTTCTATCGCCACCTGCATCTTCATATAATCTTGTTTTATCTCTTTAAGTTTATACAGCCTACTCTCCGGCTTTTATTGTGAGGAGATAAACTTGAAGTTTATTAATATCTATGACAGTCTTGAGTTACATCCTTTAAATCTTGTAAAATTCTAAATTGTCAGATCTATTTTTCATCATTATCATCTCCACCAGCATGAGAAGTATCACGTATTTAGGTTTCATCTTCAAACCATTATACCTAGCAGCATCATCTTCACCACCACCACCACCATTCCCACCATCATCCCTACCATCACCGTCACCACTACCAACAACAACATCCCTACCATTACCATCACTATCTATCACTCTTCTCAGCATTATCAACATCACGATCATCACCATCATCAATATTATCATCATCCCCATCATTACCCTTAACATTACCATTAACTACTACCACCATCATCATCATCATCACAATCATCACCATCATCATCATCATCAGCTGGTAACTGGTAACTGCCATCATCACCACCATCATATGCAGAGGATTGTTGTAATGAAGCACAACAGAGAACCTCCCTGGTAACTTCAGAGATTTGTCTACCATTACTTACACTTTTTTTTCATTCACTCATTGTCAATATCACTGCAATCATTTACGAAATACAAAAATGGTTACAATCAAAACAGATAATGGGATAAGATATGAGGATAGGAGAAAATATTATCCAGAGGTATGAGAAAGGTTTAGAACAATTACTTCATATCGCATTTAGACACCCTGTTTAACCTGCTACCACCATGAGCTGCTTCACAAACTCACCTACTAACAAGCAACCCACAATTTAAACAAAAAGACAAATCCAGTTTCAGGGATACCATCACAATAAATTGTATGATTCCTTTTTTTTAAGTGGATGTTTAAGAATTTCATTTATATATAAAGGACAAAGATTAACCGATCAACTCCCAATCCTACATCCAAAAAGATTAGGCTATCTACATGATTTGACTGTATGGTCTATCGTTTTACTCTAAGAAATCATTTGAACACAGGTCCCATAAACACCAAATACAAATTGTACTGAAGACCCCCAAAAAGTACCAACCATTGCACTCAAGCCCCCACCCCCCCCCCCCCCCCCCCCAAGATTCTGCTCCCAAGATCTATAACCCTATAGTTAATATGGAACACGACTTCCAACCTGTGGTCCTAACCATGATTAATTATATTTCACCAATCCGTGAAGTTGTTGCCATTCACAAATTACATCATTACATGTAGTAATCCCACATTCAGGAACATACATGGAAACACACACAAAACAAGCAATCTATGAGTCAGAGTGAAGAGATGAAAGGAGACAGAAAGGGAAACTATGTAAGCCATATGAAAAAAGAAAGAAGGGGTGGAGGGAGGGGGGTCAGAGGGGGCAATGAGGTCACCTACCTTTAGGCCAGATCCGTTTAAATCAGGTGAAGACCCGCTGTAATCAAGAAAAAACAGAGAAAAGTATGCAATTAGTCATTGGTAATTTGGAACTATAATTGTATACAGAGACTGTGATTGTAAGTGTGATATACTTGCTCATTTACAATTTAATTCATCATCACTATGAACAATAAATGAAAGTGCTTCATTTATTCATGTATTCAAAGAGCAAAGAATATGACATCATATTCCATGAAACTTAGATCAAATAAAGCATCAAACACGTGTACATCTGTTTCTGAACAAAAATATAATGATTACAAGAAAATTGCCTACACTCCATGGTAGTTTCCTCATTAGGTGAACATACATGTACATGTGATTGATAAAGGAAGATCACCCAAACACCCAAACATTCAAACAACAGTACCTCTTTAGGCACACATTACATGAATGACATTTCGTCTCTTGAATTTCAGTTTTCTGCAACAGAAACTAAATACTAAATCTGTACATATCAATTGCAATATCATAACAAAATGAATAGCTATCTAAATTCAGCATGAATTACAAAAACATATTTTAAAACTATGATTACGCATAGATACTCAAACTGACAAACATTGCCTAAACGAGCACTGTGAGTGACGGCCTCAATGTATGTACCAAATTATTATTAACGTTTATTTTTCATTTTCTTGTAATCAATTATCCTGCCTGGAGGCAACTAGAATCGGCATACTTTCTAATTGGTATCTCTATCATTCTCATCTCCAAGTGCCCGTCCCCCCCCCCCCCCCCTCCTGGTCACACGTATCCCGCGGAGCTAATCTCCGCAAGTAGCCCATAATTTTCAGCCAAGAGGCGTATCATCTCGCCTAATCTGATAATGGATAGTTTGATATGAAATCTACCCAACATGTCGTCTGCTTAAAGCCACAAGGGCATAAGGAACATGTTAATGTGAGATAATGTTCTTTTAGCATTAAATATCCTTCTTAGCGCTTATCATATTGTGTTTGGGAAGAGGTTTACGAACATGTTAAGTTGAGTAGTGTTTAGTAAAGTGGCTATCACAGATAATGGCAACTCAGTGGAGTCTCTCATCTTGCTTAATCTAATAATGAATACTTTGATATGAAATCAGCGAAACATATCGTCTGCTTAGAATCACAACGGCAGAAAGAACATCATAATGTAAGATAATGCTCTTTTAGCTTGAAATATCATTTGTTTAAAGCTAATTACATTGTGTTTGGATAGAGGTTCATGTACATGTTGAGTTAAGTAAGTGTTTAAGAGAGTAAGTGTTTAGGAAACTGGTCATCACAGTTATTATGAAATGTGAGGAGTAAGAGGGCCTCTCATCTTACCTAATCAGTCCAAATTTTGGATAATTGTGCATGATAATGTCACAGGGATGTTGCATTTAGCTTTGTGTTCAAGTTCAGGATAATGTGTTCAAAACTTTAACAATGTAAGGCTCACAAGATGATGCATTAACACAGCTCTCAGCAGACAATGTATTTTCCCGCTGAAATACGTGCAAATTCATCTTGCTATCTTCAGTTTTCTTCAGGTGTGTGTGTGAGAGAGAGGGTGTGTGTGTGAGGGTGTGGGTGAGGGTTTGTATTAGGGGGAGGGGCCATCAAAGATATTAACATCATTAAATTAGAAGGGAAAGAGAGGAAAGAGGGAAGAGAGCATGACCTGACCTGAACTGTGAGGGCAGCATCCAGATTTCATAACATGACATTATACATGACATTTTGGTATGTGCAGTGTAGGTAAATGTTAGCATTATTGACTGTTGAATGAGGTCTAACACCCCCTCAATAAACATTTAAAGGTGGTATTAAAATCTGATCTGGTAATGACATGTATGTACATTTAAACATATTCTACTGAAACTCACAGAAAACATATTCTTTGCTTTACTCAAATAATTGTATGATTTACTTTACCATAAAAATGGATATAGTCATACGATATTCCTTTGCAATGTTGAATGTTTCATCTCAATATTTGTATGTGATTTGGATCCTGCTCGAGCTTATTTTTCATCATTATCAGAACCCAAATCTAAATTTGTCTACCGTAATCACGACTCTAATGTCATTTGGCAAGGCATTAATCTACATTTGCCACTCCATACCCAGGAGAGATATGGGGACCTGGTAGGATGACGAAAGCCTTTGTTTAATCAACTGCCATATGCCATCACAGTGACCATACATGTATGTTAGTATTCCCTTGAGAGTGGAGATCGTGCACATTGTTTATACATGAATCCGATGACCGAGGTAATAATATCTGTGAGGTAATAATCTGTAAAGCGCTTAGAGACGGTGTTTCGTATCAAGCGCTATATAAATCCAGATTATTATTATTCAGGGGCATCATAAAGATAACATGAACATTAACATAAACGTGTTAACATATATGCGAGTTTGTAAACCCAATTGATTCTACCAGTTCAAACTCATTGTTTGACTCCATGAATGCTGTATGTACAATGGAGCCTGATTTGGCAACTACTGTACCTGTAAGACCAAAATTTATTTATACCATTCATTTTTCCTCTTCGCCAGTATTTATAGCCTAAAGGAACCTACATGTATACTTACGTAAATACATTCACCTGTACATTTTAAGACCAACAGCCTATAAAGATCACTTTTTTCCACCTTGAGCAGTTTTTAAATACAGCCAGTTATCTCTGTTCTACATAAGTTTTTACCAAGACAGGTAAATCAAATCTAGCAATATGTTATGAATTTCTTCATGTTCGTAAACATACAAGGGTATATTATTGCAAGTTGCAAGGGGAAGCCAGATTCATGCACATGGATGCCTACACATGCATTAGATGAAAAAGATGAAAATAACAAGGTCTGTGACCTTGCACAAACCATAAGGCTCTTTGATGAACATATTGCAAAAACACATGCCAGGCTGTGAACAACAATCAGTGATGATACATGGCTGGTGAGTGGGTATATTCATAACTCGTAATGATTGTGTGTGCACTCTTTACCAAACCTAAAGGCATTGGCTATGTTCATACGGGATCATCGTAGTTTAAACTCTAAGTTTGTTCAGTTCAGATCAATTCACTTTTTTATTTAACCATTTAAAATCAAATAGACAAAGCATGTCATACAAATAAGAATCGTTAGGATTCCCATAAGAACTTCGAAATTATAAACCGGTATCCACTGACAATGACGGGGTCCACATGAGACCAAGACACGAAACAACGAGTGTTCAAGGTTTTAGACTGTCTGTACAAGCCAAGCAAGCGGTCTTTTTAAACTACATTGTGATGAGTATGTGACCTCAAGTTCATTCTAAATTTGAATTGAATTAATTCACCACTTTCATAAAAATGTGGTAAGTCAAAGAATACGATAAAATATTTTTTACAAACATGGATAAGCCAGCAAAATGGAAAATACACTAAAGCACTAACATTAAGATCGCTCTAGGTTTAAATAATGTCAAGTGCACACAGTTCCGAACTAAACTGAAAGCTAATGAACAGTCATATGAATCTATCTACCTATAAACAATTACAGAGCTACTTGAACGCTCGATCCCCTTGATGAATATTTTGCTGCATTTCCAATTTTGTCAACACATCAAGTGGATATGTATCAGCTTTGGCATCGAGGTAAAATTATTTAAAATATCATACACAATGCTTCGTGTCCATGGCGCAAGGGGTTGATTAATTGCGGATAAATTTAGACAATTACTGGGGTGGATTGCTTTTGGTAGTTGCCTTTGCTGCTTACATGTCCATTTGTATTTCATCTCCCGTGAAAGATGAATTGTCAACCTGCAATTGCAATAAATGTATGGTAATATCTCCCACATTGTTATGTGTTGCTCATGGAGTAGAGATTCATTACTTGGGCTTTAGTGTTGTTCATGTAGCTGATTTATGACTTCTGTTTTCCTCCTGCCTGTGGAGTAAACATATGATCCATGAGCAATGAATTTTTAATCAATGTGTAATTAAATTCTTATTGCTGTACCCCGATCCATTGCACCCCAAATTATTACCATGTGTGTACAAACTGGCAGCTTTTAACTGCATGTTTTCATTTTCATACATACGGGTTCATTTAATAACCATGTACATCCAATATTCCTGGATGAGCTATGAAAAGAATAAATGATAAGAACTGGTGCCAATTTGAGGAGCGAAAGCTGATTCATTTAGACCTTCAGAAAATTCTGTACTGAAATAGGCAGCTTTGTGGTTTGGATCTTCTTTTCTTCATGCGCCTTCGTTTTATTCTGTAAGAATTAATTTTACATTTACCAGAACTCAGTTTATCTTTAATTACATGTACATGTAGGCCTGCTGCTTTTCCGATGATATGGTATGTTGGGAATTTCACTGACAATATGCTCTATGGCTACACAGCTGTTGCATGATAAATATTATCTTACTACATAGGTCTGTACAGCTTTGATTGGTATTACATTTACCGTTGTTTTCTGAATCAATTACATAGCCAGGGCAGCTGTTGCATCTGATTTTCACAATTTGTTTTGTTTTCTGACCTGACTCCAGGCTTTGTAGGTCAATCTAACTTTTTTATTTCTCTGTTACAACGTGGATAAATCGTCACCAATTAGATAAGTCATGAACCGGAGAAAATGGAATTATTTCAAAATAATTCCCTTTAATTACTTCTTCTTATTTATTTTCTATAGGAGGTGAAAACGAAGCATATAAATATAAATCTTCTGGTACTTGTAAAAAGTAAATGTATTTCCTTGTTTTAGGTTCTTAGCAAGTCCTTAATTTTACTAGAAATTTTTCATCACTTTCACTTTGATGTCAAGAGTTAAAATAATTATCAACTCTTCTGAGTTTTGCTCTTAAATTTAAGATCTTCAATCTCAAAACTCAATCCAGTTCTAATTTCACTTCAGCATCAACTTTCAATGTTATCATACTTGGTTTCGCACTCTTCATCAGAGAATTTACCTGTCTTGTTTTTTTTATAACGATCCTTTAAAATATACTTCTTCCCTCTG